ACTTAAATTATTAAAGAAGATCAAAGTGCAATTATTGCATGGGGTAAAGCTCTAAAGACAAGTAGTGTAGGGTTTGAACATTGATGTTCCAGTTTCAAAATTTTTAGCAAACAATTTCGAAATTTAATACGAATACCAATGCAGAATATGTAAGACCAATTAAGATTAAAACTAAATCTATCGAAGTAGATACTGGGCATTGTATATTCCTTCTGCTTACAATTATGGATGAAGTGTAGTGAAGAAAGCCAACTAAAAAAAATTTCTTTTAAAAAGTCATCAGCTTTCTTTCAAAACAAAATGTGTATGATGGAAGCTGTTACGGCCTTTTGGCCGTTACAATTAATGGTAAAGTAAAACGAGGGCTTTCAAAAGATAATAATTGATGACATCGTTCTGAGTTTGTAAGAACAATTGAAAATAAGATGGTGGAAGTCAAAATATCCTCCTGATGCCATCTGTAGTTCTAACTGTGCCCTAGACATATCACATTCTTTCCTTTTAATTGAATTTTTGAGAAATTGCGTTTTGCATGGAATATATAAACCAAAATCCTAGAGCTTATGACAACAGTACATTGAAATAGTGACGAGCAGATATAGTCTTGGTCTTTTTGATGATTTGAAGTCCTATAACCAAAACCAAGACTAAATAAGCTAGCCCAAGACCAAGAGCAAGCAATCACGAAACTCTCACAGTTTTCACACAATCACTAACTATTATTTTCGAGCAGTAACCTAGCCTAGACCTCTACTCCTGGCTCTACTAGCTCTCCATGTTTAAGAAGGCCTCCTACCAACCTATCTCGTCTACTTCTTATTAATTTCTAAAATGCCTTCTGTTCTCTTGCTCTCTCTAAAACCTCTTCATTTCTATCCATCGTACTTTTAACATCTTCCTAAACACCTCATCTCAAACGTTTCTAACCTTTTCTGCAATTGTCCGTGTCTATATTGCGTGTCATTCATGCTTCTTGCAGAAAGTATTTTTATTCTGGTGTGAAACGTTTCCTGTATAGTTTAGTTTTAGGTATTATATACACCAGAACAAATTGTTTACTCAGAGGTTATTATTTAATGCTGTATCAGGCGCATCTGGTGATTGGACTTTCTAAACCGTGAGTGATCATTATCCTGTCTAATTGTAAGCCTAAAGGCAGAGACGTAATAGGACAAATTCCTTATTAAACATAAGTATGCATGTCAAGTCCGAATTGTAGCGTACAGATCGGCCAAAAGATACCCTCTCATATTGTATAATTTCGATAATCAAACTATAGAAAATAGTCCTTCCTGCCTATTGGTTAAGAAAAAGAATATACGAGGGTGGATTGATAAGTTTCCGGCCTAACCAAGAGATGACGCCACTAGGCCTACCTTGAGGTGACATTCTATAGTACCATCCTTGGATAGCTTGTAGCTATAGTTTCAGCCCGATCTCCTTGCTAGTGTAGGTTTGACAGCACGCTGAACAAGACGCCTCTGTGGTTTTCGTAAAAATGGAAAAGCAGGAAAATCGTGCTGTCATCAAATACTTTTATTTGAAGGGGTTAACGCCGAAGGAAATTAAAAAAGAGATGGACTCAACACTGGGGACATCCTCCCCGTCATATTCAACCGTTAAGCAGTGGGTTTCCGAGTTTAAAAAGGGTCGTGTGAGCACCTCTGATGGGCCTCGCTCAGGACGCCCCGTTGAGGTCACAACTCCAGATATGATCGAAAAAATTCATCAAATAGTGCTGGGAGACCGCAGATTGAAAGTGCGTGAGATAGCTGAGACCTGTAAGATGTCATATGAACGTGTGCAACATATTTTGCACCAACATTTGCATATGGAAAAGCTCTGTGCAAGATGGGTGCCGCGTTTGCTAACAGTCGACCAAAAATTGATTCGAAAAAACATTTCTACCGCAAATTTGTCATTGTATAAGCGTAATCCAAGCGAATTTTTGCGTCGATTCGTAACCGTTGACGAAACGTGGGTCCACCACTACACTCCTGAAACCAAAGAACAGTCTAAACAGTGGATTGGACCAGGGGAACCAACTCCAAAGAAGGCAAAAACAATTTTTTCGGCGAACAAGGTTATGGCTACTGTTTTTTGGGATGCAAGAGGTATTATATACATTGATTACCTTGCAAAGGGTAATACTATCACTGGTCAATACTACGCAGACTTATTGCAACGTTTGAGCCACGAGGTGAAAATTAAACGACCTCATCTGGCGAAGAAAAAAATCTTGTTTCATCACGATAACGCACCAGCGCACACGTCAATCGTTGCGACGGCTAAAATCAACGATCTAAAGTTTGAATTGATGCCGCACCCTCCTTACTCTCCAGACCTAGCCCCGAGTGACTATTTTCTGTTCCCTAATCTCAAAAAATGGCTTGGCGGTAAGAGATTTGCGGACAATGAAGAAGTAATCGAAGCTGTAAATGGTTATTTTGAGGAGCTTGACGAATCAGTCTATAGAGATGGCATTAATAGACTGGAACACCGCTATGAGAAATGTATCAGCCTTGGAGGAGATTATGTTGAGAAATAAAAAAAAAAAATTTTTAAAAACCTTGTTTTTCTTGGTCAGGCCGGAAAGTTATCAATCCACCCTCGTATTTGGCATGCATCTATCCTACTGTCTTTAACAATTGCCCATTGAGTGTCATGTTTTGGATAAATTATATTATCGGTTTTGTTCACTTAATTCACTCAAATTTACCAATGTGGTACATGCGTGAGAAGAATTAAGTGTTACAATTACAATTTTGAACGAATAGGTAAAAATATATTTTGCCTTTAATATGATCATGACAATACACCAATCTGGATCTTGATTCTTGTTTCATCCTAATTATTCTTCTCATACAGACGAATTGAGAACCAAACATGGAGATATTCCAGTAAAAATCATCGTTAAAAGATCCGACGTGGTACTTATCTTTTCATACAAGTAATGAAGTAATATAGGTCCAATAAATTCAATTTAAAGCCTTTGAGGGGAATTATACTGAGTTTGGAAGGTTTTGAGAATGTGGTTAGTACCTATAGGACAGACTGTAATAGTGATGAGCAAAGCAAAACCATGACTGTCCCAGTCTTGGTATTGGTCTTGGTGTTGCTTATATGGTCTTGGTATTGGTCTTCCTTTAAATATTCGTAAAACCAAGACCAAGAACAATATTGTTCATCACTAGTTTTTAAAGAAAGTATAAGTACTTTAGTATAACAGTCATCCAATCTAAATACAGTGAAAATAAAGGGCTCTTCAAAATCCATATTTGTAAGAGACGTTTCTACTTATGAAAAATAATAATTAGCTTCTTAAAAAAGCGCTTTACGTATCAGTTTTGCCTGAATAAGCTATAATAACAATGACAGATTAGCATATTTAATGTAAATAAAACTTTGCAAGGACATGTAGACCAAACAATAATTGTATTTTTTATTATAATAATAACGCACACATATGCCTTTCAATCAATTTACCTCTACACACAAACAAAAGCAACAACAAAAGCAATAATAACAACAACAAAGAGTAGAAATAAAAATGAAAGTTTATGGCACAGTACTTGTTAAGAAACTTTTAATTAAAATTTTATTACGTATAAGTTCTATTAAAGAGAGCTAATAAGTGCTAAATTCTAGTAGGTGTAACATTATTAGGCGTCGTATCCACCACCAAACGATACCAGATCGATGCAAACAACGCTTGGAACTCCAAAAAATGTAATGGAAAATTAAAGATCTGGATCCACAATTAATGATAATTAATGAGCTGGAGAAAAGGAAGATCAAGATTTGTACTACGGGCTTAATTGATAACGTCAAAAAAATATATATAGAGAAGACAATTAAGAAGCATCAAAAATAAGTCAGCAGGTTCATTTCTTGGGTCCAATATCCAATTGTCCAACGATGAGTAACGGTTCCATTCGTCCAATGCGTCTAATTCTTCATATTCAATCAAAGACAAGCATTGTCTTCACCGTTTTGGCATCATTTAATGTGAACTATGATTAGAAACCAATGAGTAATCTGACATTAAAGTCCTCCTTTTATATTCTATCTACCACCCTCTGTAAGTGGAGCGGAATGGGTGGATGAAAATGGTTACGGAAAAACAAACGAGACAAACAGAGAAGATGAAGTTAATAGAAGAGTGAAAGGACGTACATTTTACAGGAACCATGGAAACCATACAAAAACATTGATCGTGGCAGAACTACCTACCCGGAAATAAACGGGTGTCGTCCCAAATTCCATAAGGTATCCAAACGATAAGATCACTTTATCACCCCTATGATAAGACTTTATATTCAAATAGCCAATTGATAATGGCAGACTAATAATTTACACCATGGTAACAATACGATAAGATACCTGCTAATTTTCAATTTTGATTTTCCACATGCAACTCGATTTGATTTTACTAGATGAACATTCATTTCCAATACCCATTTGGTGTTTGTAGTTACAAAAACTATGGAAACTTTACATTAATGTACCTATCTATTTATGGTAAACTAATGAACAAGTCCTAATGTTCTATATTTCAATCTCTAATGGGCAAGCATGTTATTTTCTTGTGGAAAAAACACAAAATTGCAGTTTAAATGTTCGCCTATTAGCCAGAAACGATTAGCGCAATTAAAATATTTCCAGCGAAAGTCACAGGCAGGTAAAAATACCTTTAACAAGACCAAGTCCGTTTAATGCCCATAAGTATTTCAAGTATACCTTACATATCGCAACACTTTTATACACATATATCTGTTACAGTAGGATATATTTTCAATGACCCGAAATTCGTTTCTACGCTCAGTAAGATCGAGTGAACTGGATCTTTGTTCCTATTGTTACGAAAAAAAAAACACCATCGCAATCTATTAATTACTATTGCCAAACAGTACGGTGTTTCTACATTAAATTATTTAAACATCATACACATAGATACAATAATTAAGTAAGTAAGTAAGTAATGAAGGAAGATAGCTCACCTGCTACAATTCTGTTTGCCAATTTGAAGACTGCATAAAATTATTGTGTTGAAAGACACCAACAGGCGCCCGACTCTCGAATTCTATTAAAACGTCAGTGTTCACAACTACTTACACAAACTCTAACTACACAAACGAAACAATAAGATAAAAGTTAAGTATCCATGGCTTGTTTGTTGTTTCTCGTTTATCTTTTGTTTTCCACGGACACTATTGAAGTTAAAAAAGGAGCAGGAGCACTCGGTTGAGTATGTTCGTTCTTTCACTATTGTCGATTTTTGGTAAACACGTGCAAGAGACAGGCAGAAAGCGAGAAGGATGAGTTGAAGTGCGTTTCCGCTTTCCGCTCTTGATATCGACGGAACTGTTAACAGTCAATGGTTGCCGGTAGCAACACGCAATGGAGAAAAACTTTTCGATCGAACTCTATCTAACAATAATAATAATAATAATAATAACAACGTGTGCGAAATAGTTTCACAAGTGAAGCCGGTCGTCGGTCGTAGAAGGCTATTGCCATCATCGACATCATCAACTGTTTCCAGTGCCTGGTTTGCTTTGGCCTGGTGCTCTTACCTTGCACTCACTCATCTACCAGTTGCTGGTTCGGTGAATGTTCCTCGACGTCCCCACCAAGAATTGGCCGCTTCTCTCCGCGTGTGGAATGTGCAGGTACAGGTGTGCTAACAACTACGGACAGACAGACGACGACTACCGCGACGAGGAGGATATAACAGATACCGTATTCTGTAGCCCCAGCCAACTGAAACTGCACGACTTCACGATCTGCAATCGGATCACCTGTGGAAACGAAGATGGAACTTGAAACTCGGTGTTTCTTGCACTTCGATCCAGAACGAATTAAAACACCGAATAGTTTGGAACAACGTCTTCCAAGCAATTACGAATGATCGAGATCGACTGCCAATTAAGAGTCAAGCAGTCGTCTCCTTCTTCTAAAGATCTTTTATTCTTTGAGCGCCTCTTTAACGAGATGGTGGAATTTCTTTTCTTTTCTCTGGTACTCTTTATCAAACCTCTAAAAGATTTGTTCAGTTTGATACAATTCAGTTCCACGGAAACAGTTAAGGATTGGGGTATCTAACTGATGATGCCACCTTGGATGTTTAGCGTTTTAGGTTTTTAAGTGTCCGTTATATATGTGGAGTTTTTGAATTTGATTTTACATTGGATTCAATTGTATTATTTTGGCCGATGTCTCTGATGTTTTGCTATCATGAAATAACCTTAAAAGATGTCTATTTCTTCATTCTAAAAAACCTATCTAAATATCTAAAGGAGCTGTCGTGGTTCTTGGTAATACATCTTTTTTTTTTGCTTCATTCCTTCTCACTTTTATCTTGTGGCTTCTACAGTACTTCTTTTTCCAATTTCTTGACATTTATATTCTTTTTGCGTGGCGTCACCATCAATCTCATTGAAATGTCCAACACAGTATTTCTTTGATCTTTACTTATTCTACTTTCGACTAATCATTTGCTGACCCCCAGATCGCCCTCCCCTTTTTGATTCATTGTTCCTTACACTATAACCTGCAATCAGGAATTATCCATTTCATTTCCTCCAGGTTTCCTGTAAACCGTGGTCTGTAAGTGATTGAACTTCTCGTTTGACAACTTTCTTGATCTTCAGTCTTTTTGCTTCCAATGTTTTAATTGTGCAATATTCTGTCTCAAGTTTCTTTCAACATCAATGATCAGAAATGTGGTCCAAACCAATTGATGATTTACTGCAACCTCTCAATCACTACTTTTGTATATTTGTAAATATATTGCTGGATCTTTTGTTTCCTGTTTTAGATTTTAATCATATAGATATAGATACAACATTATTCTCTTTTCATTCTTAAGAATCTGCAATCATAAAGAATGAACTTCCTTCTGTTCAATTTCTGATGACTGTGCTGGTTGGTGTGTTCTGTTCAAAATTTATACAAATGCTTCATAAAACATAAGTGCACTAAGCATTTGTATACACAACTAAACAATTGAATTTATCTTTACTATGTTAATATTTAAATTATGACAAAGAACGTCTTAGATCATCTAGATTAACTTCAACACTGCACTTATCTTTGAAGAAAACTACAAAATGACAAAGACAGAAATCCAGTTGTGGACTAAAGTGGAGAGGGAACAGACGCTCCACCTCGCACATGGAGGGTGTCTTAAATCCTTTTTAATTAAATCCCAAACAAGTCCAAAATATAAAATAATTCGAAGTGGTCTGTATTCTGTCGAAACTGTCAGACGCGGATCGCGATTTCGATCTTTTTGGATCTCATCAGCGCGTTGCAGGCAGCTCCGACAGAACACAGACCAACTTGTACCTGCTGTCTTAATAGCGCGTTTTAGAAAATACCACAAATGGCGCGGTAAACGCCATCTGTAATACGATACTACATTTTAGGATTAGGTATGCTCCAACAAGGTCCATTTAAATATATGGATATCTACTTGCTGAAACGAATAGGTAAAAGTTGGTCTGTATTCTATCGGAACTGCCTGCGATGCGCTGATGAGATCCAAAAAGATCGAAATCGCGATCCGCGTCTGGCAGTTTCGACAGAATACAGACTACTTCGAATTATTTTATTCGATTATGGTAACGTGTCTATCACGTTGAGGTTAGCTACGCCGGGATTCGTTTCAGCTAGTAAATATCCATATATTTAAATGGACCTTGTTAGAGCATACGTACCTAATCCTAAAATGTAGCATCGTACTACAGATGGCGTTTACCGCGCCATTTGTGGTATTTTCCAAGTCCAAAATATGTTTAGTAAATATTAGAGACAATTTTGATTTTCGAGTTGTGAACAATAATCTAATATAAATTAAATCTGCTCCTCTTAACTCCTGTTCTACAGAAAATTATTAACTTAACACCAATTATTTAGCTGTTGTTCAAAGCATGTACCTATTATATAATGGAATATTGCAATTTACCATTGTTGGAGTATTATGCATTTTTAAATCACGTTGCAAAAGCCCAAACAGGTCCCCATATACTTTCTGTACATCGCCGTTGTTGCATCATGAAGTGAAAACGCACTTTTATTAGCAAGGAAAATTTTATATTCGATGCAGAGGCTAGGCATCTTTAATTAAATAACAAACGTAGGAAGGTTGATTTAACTGACTCTTTTCTGGAAAGAAATATGATTTATTTATCTTAAACAAAAACAACTGCTTATGTAGATATTTGTTTGGGATGCTGTTGGTAAATTTTCCGAAATTCTGCTACAAAACACTATAAATTACGTGTATTTTCCTTCGCAAAGCTATTCACAATTAATCACTGCTATTATTTAGGCGTGTTTAATAATAAACAAACCATTAGCATGCCTGGAAACAGATCTTATCTCAAAGAAACTTTTATTCCGAATAAATTAAATAAAGAAGGCGATATGTAAATTTCCTCTATATTAAGTAACTGTTAAGTGATTCCATACATTCGATATAAAAGGGGCATTTATTATTGGTTGTTAAAATCTTCCAAAGCAGAAGAAATTTATTGATACCCAGGGACATATTTTATATTTTTATCGAATAATATCGTATTTATGTTAAAACGGTTGTTACCAAACATATTTTTTATTAGAAGCTAACTGAACCTTAATTGGTATAAATTCTTGGTATACGCCAATGTATACAGAGTGTTTTATTCAACAATACAGCACAGTTTGTATTGTGCATTTCCAATATATCACATCTCTGATAAACAATGATTATTATGTTAAATCCGCTCGTTAAATGTATAGTTCTGTTGACCTTTTGTGGGAATTTGTGAAGAAAAAAGTGTGAACAGGATTCATAAGGATTTCAACTGATTGTAACAGGATGGATTAAGATCTCACGAATGCATGAACAATTACATACATCTGGGCATGTACATAGGTACTTGTAAGCACTTACATAATACGTCGTAATAGTACATACATCTAAGTACTACAATGTGCAGGCTATTATAACAGTATGTGTAATTTTGATGAGTTTTAAATGGAAAAGTCTTCACTTGTACAAGAAAATGACCGTTCAATTTTTCATTTTTTGTTGCAATAATTTATGCGTTCACTTCTAACGTGCAAGTAAATAATTGTTCGTAATAAGTACCACACCAGGTCAGTCTGTAGGTACCCAGGCATGTATATAACAATTTCACCAGGTGTTGATGTAATAATTTCTACTTCATTCATATATGTTCATATGTTATTACATCCCAAGGAAAAGGTTAATTGGAGGTGAAACTGTGCGCATTACATGTAGATGCAGGCATATTTGAAACGATTTAAATGACTGCCAGACAACTAAATCATCTAATAATAAAATATAGAAAATTATAATTTGCCTGAGAATGTCTTGAAACCATACTTATGGTTTTGAACTGGTGTTATTTGGAGTTAGAGCAAAGAATTCTCTTTGGATTTTTAAAAATCCACTGTGGTGGTAAAAAGGTACATAAAGTGTTTGAGACTTTTGCAAATCTGATTTTTATTTCCTTTCACTACTGTGTACGTTATTATTGTTAATTATTTCATCTCCATACAAATATTGAAAGAACTTTTTGGGATTTTAGAATTTAGAGATAGTAAATTGGTGTTGTTTTGATTCAAGTCTAAAGGTCGTCGTGTGTTGGAGTTGCTTTCTAACGTTTCACCAGTATAAGTGGTGAGCTTCTTCAGAAGTCTTTCCATGTCTAAATCCAGCATCGAAAATGGAATGATCTCTGAAGAAGATTACCACTCGAGCTAGCGAAACGTTAGAAAATAAATCCAATCGATCACGACCTTTAGGACAGCATCAATTCACCTACTCACGAAAGCCTTTACTAATTTTTCAATACAGTTTTAAATTCACTTCAAAACATTATTAAACGTTTCAGCTATTTCGATCTAGTCAAAAACTTTGCACTGTCGAAAGTTTAAATCGTAATAATGATTTTGGGCCCCCAAACAGTGATAAAAATTTTTTTAATGAGTTCCGCACCGGAGAAGTTAATAAAATATACAATTAGACTGAATTTCATATCAGTTACTTGTGTAAGTACTTTTTGATAATAATTTCCACCGAAGTGTCCTTTTTCTCCAGTTCTTTTGTACGAAATTTTTTAAATGTAAATATTTTAATGCATATTTAAGTTTTAAATGGATAATTTTCACACATCCCTAAACATATCATGTTATAAAATCCAAGGAGAGACACAGAGTCAGTACCTATATCGCCATCTGGTGGTTTTTTGTTGCTAATGAAGTAAATATTTCATGCGTTAGGCCTTAATTGAGGTATCAACTTACTTAATTGAATCAATGATGCAGCATTTTAACTTAAAATAAACGTTCTGATATAATTTTAGTTCCAAAATATGATTTACCTATTTATTTTCTTTTAGTTTTTAATTTTTATTTACACATACATAATTTTTGTTTAATTTGATCAGTAATTGGTTTCATTCAAGACACGTTTTACAGACAAATACTTAAGTCACCAGGTCATACATAATAAGATTACGTTTCTGAAGTAAGTCAATACTTATTTCTTCCCATTCCATTTTCATGTCATAAAAGTGCAATAAAAGGGTTTATGGAGGCTTACGTAAAGGGTGTCGCATTAAAATAATCGTTAAGAGAAACATTTGACGTAACAACAATACTTGCTTTCGATTAGTGAATTGTAAGACCGCTTGTAAAGACGATTATCTCCGATTTTATTTTTCTCTTTCCTGTGACAGCTTTGATGTTGCTGCAGCAATAACACTTTTATTTCCGACTTGATATAATATTGCACGTTGTCATTTTGTCATTTAATCCTTCTGCAATGTGGGTGAAAGCAAAATAATTATTATGAAAAGAGTCGAATGCAATATCACCACCCACGCGTAAGTATGTCCGTTATATGCAACTTTCGATATTTTTCAACTTCCGGGTTTTAATCAGACAATGACACAATAGAAGAAACACTTCCTTCGGATTGTTGCATCACTCAAAAGATTTTGAAAATATCCGAAATTACTTTTTAATAAAGAAACACGTATCTTGTTAATACCATGTAAAATTAAGATGAGCGGTAAGTATCTATACAAAATTCCTTAGTTCGTACTTTTCTTTATTATGATAAGGTCTTCAGTCTGGAGTCTGGTTAGACACCCACCACCACTTAACTCCTATCTTAAGCCAATCTTCGTACATCTCAAAAACTAGAGAAACCTACATCTTTAACTATTTGCGAACAGTAATCTGGTCTAGGTCTACCTCAACCTCTCCTGATTCTTGTTTCTGCTTGTAGTATTTATGTTTCTAACTATCCCTTTATCTCTAAGAAGGTGTCCCACCATTTTTCATTGATATCCATAACTCTCTCTGTTATCTTCCCCTTTCATTTGAACCTTGTCTTATCCACGATGTTTTCAGCATTCTCCAGTAACACAACAACTTAAACGCTTCTAATCTTTTCTTTTCCCCTCGCCCTCCATCCACGTTTCAGACGAAAAACCATCTCAAGTACAAAAGTGATTTCGTGTTGTTAAAAGCAACCCGATCCTACGCTATACCATGTATTATATCTCTAACGTTCTCTCCATCCTGAATTATCTGACTCCCTAAATGTCGAAAATCAGCGATTTCTTCTAATTAATCGTCTCCTCCTCCTTAAAATCTGGCAATGCTTGCAATCTCCCATGATTTAGTAGCAAAAATACCGAGAGGTACCGCCTAGACCATTGCTTAGCATTTGGGTGGATACCAGTTCGATTCTGAGTTTATCTGCCATGGATTTCTGTGATTTTCTTTGATCATACGGAGCAGAACAGATAAAATCTTTCACTCTATTCTGTTTCCATTTCATCAATCTCATCTTTCTCAGACCAAGCACCGTCTAACCCATTCCCACAACTTCCAAAAGGAGAACGAAGGGGATCTTCCGTCCGAACCTTCGACTCAGTTCAGATGCACCAACATTAGTAACTGGTGGGAATGAAACAGTCAAAAATAAAGTGAAGTAAGTTGCAAAAATGATATGCATTGACCAACGCGTTTCTGTTTTGGCCACTAATTTCGACCTAATACAAACAACGATAACAGTTGAAGCGTATCCCAATTTGGAAATTGGTCCCCAGAACGACATATATTGGCGGGTTTAAGTCCTTCTGGTAGGACCTACCTACTCTGCTGTACGTTCTAATATACTATTAATGCATTGTCTAGCATTGGATCAGTCTAATTAAAACCGTAGCAAACCGACTTTATGGCCTCGCTGTATTCTCTGAGGATGCCAAGCACAATAGCTATTCTCACCGATGGAGGAACAATATGAAGCATTGTTCAGATAATTCCAATCGTGAAAACCTAACTTTTTGTAGATATTAAATGTTTTTGGTATATTCCATTGCTCACTACAAATACATCATCGTTATGTTGGCCGTGGAAATAGAAAAACTGGGTTAAAACTAAAAGTAGGTGTCTTCAGAGAGAAAGAAAAAAGTGATAATGATTTTGCCTTAAGGGCTAAATAATGCCAAGCCGTCTACCAACGTTTTCCTTATTTACTGGCCTACATTCGTTCAAACTGATTGCTGGTCACTTTCTACGTTGTTTACATAAGTACGAGACATGCTTCTGTAAAATGTTCTCCCCAACGACGACCAAAGATAATCGCCGCCGATTTGAACTTAATCGCTCTCGTATTGTATTCAAATTACTCCGGTGCATGAGCAATGAATCAAATGACGGAAATGAAAACTTCTCAATGTCCCATGTTTTTGCACCTACGCCAGCATCTCATGAAATGATTAATTAGAAACTACCTGATCAGTTTCTTAAGTCTACTTACAAAAATGTTCACTTTACTATTAAGAACCGATGAATATACATATGTATTAAAATACAATAAGGATCATAAAGAACCTCAACCTAAAGCTCAACATTTTCCCAAACAGACTAATATTTACATAAATTGATTTCTTCAGTAATTTACTAAAATAATTGAAACAAATTTTGTCCATAAACTTATTTTTTTATCCTTTTAGGTGCATTGATCTTTTAACATACATATTTTTTTGGTCAATTCAAAGTCAAAAATCGCCAAAAATAAACTATTTTTAATGCTTTTGTGCTTAATATATTTTTTATCGAGCGATGTCAGTGACTTCGGATGACACCTGTTGAACCTTCCGTTGTTTTATGACTTGTTTTATTTCACAAGATTATTGCAGCAAATGCAAACGCAACAAAAATGTTTGTCTTCGTTTCCATTTTATAATTGTTTTAATAGTTATTCTGTTTTTGTATTTATCTGAAAATTTAGTTAACAATAGAAACTGTTTTCTAAGTTTATGATATTAAAAATAAAAACTTTCTTATCAAGCCCTAACTATCGTAATCAAAAGCATATTTTTTCATGTAAAATAGAACTAACTACGTGTTTATTTAATTTTTGTTGTACGTGTAACACCTAAAACCTTATTTTCCACCCCACTGTTCGGCAATGTAGTGAACACATGAGAATGCACGGTTGCCGATACTCTACCGGAAAATGGAAAACTGGAAAATTAATGAAAAGCAATCAAAAATTGTTAATAATGTCACAGTTATTCTCAAAAGACTCTTGACATTGTTGTAGAATTAACCATTGGTAATAACTACATAATATTAAATTGTTATTTACGTTTAAAATTCAACGGGAAATTCGATGCGATACTACCAGTGACATCTATTGCGCCAGATTAACAAGAAAAGAAAAAGATGAAATTATTTTCCGCATTTTTCGTTTTTTTACAGTAAAAAGGGATGTTAAACTGTTTTTACATCAACAGTCTAAAATATAGAGTATATAATAACAGTTTTTTTAAGCATGCTGCATTAAATTTATAAATAACATGATTTAGTGTATATTTACAGCAAAACTTATTTTTAAATTGACATAAATAACTCCTTGTACATGACTTTATACGAACAGAAACAAATACTTAAGGAAGGCTAAAGACCTTTTTCTAATATTTCCATTTTTTCATCAATATTTCTTTTCATGTTTATTAAATGATCTCAAAATGGGGTAGACTTTAAAGGGGTTTTCTCCATTCTGAAATTAAATAGAAAAGTGTATCATTGTCAATACTCCTGATCATTTTTGGTCAGGGTGGTAGCTGGTTTTAGGGAAGCTGGGAGGGTGAGAGAATCAAAAAGTGTTTACCAGAGAAAACACTCGTAAATAAGGAAACTTTACATATATAAAAAATTGCAAAATACTATTACTCATATCATAGGTACCATAGATTAGTTATCAATATTATAAACCATTTAACAAAAAAATATCATTTTGGAATAAACACCTACGCATTTCTACAAATTTTACTGTTTAAATCATAAAATTCTAAATTAATTTTTACATTTAATTTAGTTATTCATAACGAAGGAATTCAAGATTCCATTATCTACACAGTTACATACTAAAAAGCAGAGGTGATTCTTTTTGCGTGG